ACATGTAAGCAGAGGGGCGTAGGTGAGTGTTTGGCGCCCCGGGGACAAGTGTCAATTTTTACGCCCCCCCCCCTCTTTCACTACTCCCCTCAACTTTGAAAACCATTAATTTCGTCAATAAAATACCAACATCGTCTATTTTGGCACCCCAACTAGTCGGAATATCTTCCCCCACCCCCTTTCTTCTCTCTCTCTTTTAGCTACGTCTCGTCAGTTAGATAGCGAAATTAGGTGACTGAAGCCCAGCGTGCATTGCCCAGCGTGCATTGCACTGCGTTGACTCCATATATTCCGACAAACGACGTCACTGAATGACTAACTGAGTGTTGTTGTTGTTGTTGTTGTTGTTTTCGCCAATAAAATTGAACATTAACGAAAGACTTACTTTCTGGAAGTTCATCGTTTTCATCATGACGCTTCAAACCTGAGGGAGTCAACGACAATCTGGGTCAACTGTCATGACGCTTCAAACCTGAGGGAGTCAACGACAATCTGGGTCAACTGTCATGACGCTTCAAACCTGAGGGAGTCAACGACAATCTGGGTCAACTGTTCCAAACTAAACTGTTCAACCCTGTGACCCTAGCCCCCCCCCTCCCTCCCTTCACCACCACCACCACCACACACATACACTACTACCTACCACATTCTTAACCACACCGTTCTTCATACACTCGGCAAAAAATTCTTTCCTGTTCTCTGAACCCCTACCCTACCCCACTCCCCTCCCCCCACCCCACTCCCCTCCCCCCACCCCACCCCATTTTTTTAGCGTGGAAGAGGGGGTGAGGGGGGGGGGGTTTGTCTATTCAAATAGCTGGTTAAGAAAAAAAAAAGCCAGTGGAACGAAACCGTCCCACATGATCTCGTAAGATCCGAGTTTGGCCCGAGTGTTTGAGACTTGGTCGAGGGTAAGAATCAAAGGTACGAAATACTTCACCCCTATCTATGCGCGCTGTAACCCTCCGACCGCTCCGCCCCCCCCACCTCCCCCCCCCCGTTTACCCCCACCCCTCCCACCCCCTCGCCTGTTAAAATGAAGTCTCCTTTCAAGACCTGTTGATCCCACATGCATGCCATTACTAGAACACACACACACACAGACACACAAATTCTCACCGTCGTAAGTTACGTCTACAGCTTATCAAATCATGCGTCTCTCCGGCAGAGGCGGAGCTGCTCAAAATGTTGGATAGGAATCCTCTTTTTTTTTTTTTTTACCGTTTACATATTATGATTACGCTTACACTGTACATGTATAATCGGCGTAAAAAGCGGTAAACATAATCAGAAGCGTAGTTTTGAATAAATGAGGATTCCGCACAGTGATGAGCCCGTCATGTATGGAACAGTTCAAACTGAACAATGGATTCCGTTTTATGAAACAATTAACAAAATTTAAGGCCTTTTTTTTTTTTTTAAAATAATCTTCCACCGCATTTAGAATAGCACGCCAGGGATGTAAACACAGAGACAGTCATGTTCTAGCCAGCCATTAAACACATAGTCTAGCCAGCCATTAAACACATAGTCTAGCCAGACTTAAACACGACGGAGTCTAGCCAGACTTAAACACGACGGAGTCTAGCCGGACTTAAACACGACGGAGTCTAGCCAGACTTAAACACGACGGAGTCTAGCCGGACTTAAACACGACGGAGTCTAGCCGGACTTAAACACGACGGAGTCTAGCCGGACTTAAACACGACGGAGTCTAGCCGGACTTAAACACGACGGAGTCTAGCCGGACTCAAACAGAGTATACCCGGACTTCGTCTTGCCGCTCAAGTCTTGAGTGCCTTTAAAAAATGGCACCCCCTTCACTGTATCTGGGTGTTCCCTTTGATCCATCTACATTCAATGCTACCATCTTCTTCATCATTAATGTTGTTTTTTTTTTAAATCTTTGGGGCTCTTGGTTTGGGGTGGGGGGGGTGGGTGGTTCTTTCCTGGACACGCCGCTGCCCAGACGTGTAACGACAGACCAGTTCAGATTGAGGCCGTGTGCATGCGCCATGCAATATTTTTTTCATACCCCCCCTAACCCCACACCCCCGGGTTCAGCCTATAATCCTGGTAAATGTGACCTGCTAGTACAATAGATGTCACGCGGGTTCCAGTCAGAGGCTGGGAGCGCACTTTTAGACACGCTAAAAGAAGTTCAAATGTAAATTATTATTTTTTTATAATCGAAATCCCCCCCCCCACACACACACACACATTTTTCCCTCCTCCCAATATTCAATAAAAACAATAATAATGATGAATAAACCCCAAATTTTCATGTTAAATACGAAGCTTTTGGGTTGGAGAAATCCTGACCCCCCCCCTCCTACCCCCTTTCCAACCCTCGGATCTTCCACACCGACACCTGGATTATGACGTCACCAAATGTTTGGAAAGCGATATAATGAAACTGGGTGCTGGGTGGTCGAGTGGTGTAAGCCCCAAACTTGTGATCTGGAGTTCAAATTCACCAAAGGCCAAGTCCAGCAACAACATCAACAACCCAAAGCAAAAACACTAACAGCACAGCCGAGTGGATGGGACCTGAATCAAATACCCTGAGGAGTCATGCGACCTTGAGGAGTCCTGTGACCCTGAGGAGTCCTTCGACCCCGAGGAGTCCTGCGACCCTGAGGAGTCCTGCGACCCCGAGGAGTCCTGCGACCCCGAGGAGTCCTGCGACCTCTCCTCAGGACGCTGGGGCTCCTCACCTGCGACCTGAGGAGTCCTGCGACCCCGAGGAGTCCTGCGACCCTGAGGAGTCCTGCGACCCTGAGGAGTCCTGCGATCCTGAGGACTCCTGCGACCCCGAGGAGACCTGCGACCCTGAGGAGTCCTGCGACCCCGAGGAGTCCTGCGATTTGCTGAAGAAGGAATCAGCTTATAGTCCTCAAGAAATATAAAATCCCAGATTTCGTCCTTTGAGGTCCACACCACCGCCACATAGTGACGTCCACACCATCGTCACGTAGTGACGTCCACACCATCGTCCCGTAGTGACGTCCACACCATCGTCACGTAGCGACGTCCACGCCATCGTCACGCAGTGACGTCCACGCCATCGTCACGTAGTGACGTCCACACCGTCGTCACATAGTGACGTCTACACCATAATACACGGATGACACTCATAATGTTAACAAAACGGTAACAAAATTCTTCACCCCAGATTTCCAAAACGAATTTTTCAAATTTCTTCCCTCCCCACCATTTTGTTTTTGGATACTTAAGATCACTTTTTTAGATTTTGCAATGGTGTAAATATATATATACACACACGGAGCGCCATACTGTAATCAATATTATAAATTATGAACTTCTTCCCGTATTTACACGCGCACCATAGCTGTGTTGACCCGGATGTAAGTAGTATTATAGACGATATTAGGCATGCAAGAAATCCTTTCACACCATCAGACCATCACCAACAAATTTGGTCCATGTCTTTTTTTTTTTTTTTTTTTTTTTTTGATAGCGCTGCTCATGACACACTATAAATCCAAGATGGAGTGAATTATTGCTCGTTTTCTAAGGGCCCGATTGTTTTGCGNGACGATATTAGGCATGCAAGAAATCCTTTCACACCATCAGACCATCACCAACAAATTTGGTCCATGTCTTTTTTTTTTTTTTTTCTTTTTTTGATAGCGCTGCTCATGACACACTATAAATCCAAGATGGAGTGAATTATTGCTCGTTATCTAAGGGCCCGATTGTTTTGCGAGGAGATTGGAGATCGGTATATGATATTCGATTTGAGAGATGAGTAGGGTCAGGTGATGTTGGTGCGAATGAAGCAAGTGTTGAAGATATGCTAGTATAAGAACTATGACGGTGTCGGACATATGGCAGTGCTGGGAATGTGACAGTGTAAGAAATGGGACGGTGTCGGACATGTGACAGTGCTGGGAATGTGACAGTGTAAGAAATGGGACGGTGTCGGACATGTGACAGTGCTGGGGAAAAAAAGGGGGGGGTGGATTTTGGCCATTGTACAAATGTGCAGTGGTGGGAATGCGACAGTGCTTTGTTGCTTGACAGTGCTGAAAAAATTTGGCCATCATGAGAAAGTGATGGCGATATGCGTATGACAGCGCTGGGAATGTGACAGCGCTGGGAATGTGACAGCGCTGGGAATGTGACAGCGCTGGGAATGGGACAGCGCTGGGAATGTGAAAGCGCTGGGAATGGGACAGCGCTGGGAATGGTGGACAGCTGTGATGAGAAAATTGGTTGCATTGGGATATTGGTCGCAATGGCTTGGAGGCGTGAAAGGACCACATATATGACATCAACTGACCTACGCCCACACACATCCACACACATTTACACACACACACACACACACACACGCTAAGCTCTTCCTCGGGGATCGGGCAGAAACGTAAATCATTATCTAATTAATATAATGGTTCACTTGTCATCGCTTTATTTAGTCATTCTTAGCGTACTCATTCTTAATGTACCCATTCTTAATGTAGTCGTTCTTAATGTAGCCATTCTTAATGTAGTCGTTCTTAATGTAGCCATTCTTAATGTAGTCGTTCTTAATGTAGCCATTCTTAGCGTAGGCATTCTTAATGTAGTCGTTCTTAATGTAGCCATTCTTAGCGTAGTCATTCTTAATGTAGTCGTTCTTAATGTAGCCATTCTTAATGTAGTCGTTCTTAATGTAGCTATTCTTAATGTAGCCATTCTTAATGTAGTCGTTCTTAATGTAGCCATTCTTAATGTAAGCCGTTCTTAATGTAGCTATTCTTAATGTAGCCATTCTTAATGTAGTCGTTCTTAATGTAGCCATTCTTAATATAGTCATTCTTAATTCAAATAAAAAACTTTTTTTTTTTTAAATATATCAAATGCTGAAAGTTGAAATGAACTGAATCGTCCCACAGAGATGGCATATAGTAATGACTTGTCCCTGTTTAATTTGTGTACAGATAGCAGTTCAACAAACAAAGAACATCATTTAATTCTCTCATCTTTCCATTTACAGAGACTGTGATTCAAGAGGAAGAGAAAGGGGTTTGGCCAGTATAAACCTACGCTACAGCAACACAAAACTTGATTAAATTTTTTTTGAGTGCTCAAAAATTATAATTTTTTGGTTTCCCTCAAATGGATTACTTTGAAACAAGGCATGGGTTCGTATCATCCAAGCTTTGATTGGCCCGTCTCTACAACAGCTTTTGATTGGCCCATCTCTACAACAGCTTAGATTGGCCCATCTCTACAACAGCTTTTGATTGGCCCATCTCTACAACAGCTTTTGATTGGCCCATCTCTACAACAGATTTGATTGGCCCATATCTGCAACAGATTTGATTGGCCCATCTCTACAACAGCTTTGATTGGCCCATCTCTACAACTGCACGTGAATGTCACAAAATTGGATTATATGAGTCTGAATTCAAGGAAAATTAGTTTGTTTTTTCCCTCCAAAACCATGATTGGTGTTACTTGTTAAGAAGGATCTACAATTTCTTACTTCTTGAATTGACCACGGATACAACCGGATACAAGAGTTAAGTGTTTTGATGTCTACTATCAGGCCCTCGTGCAGTGCCAAGCCTGTCATCTGTCAGTGAGACGATGAATGACAGTCGGTTCGGTCAAGCCATTCCCTCAAACTTTGCAGATCCCCTCTACCCCCCTCCCCCGGGCCTCATCGACCCGGCCTGCATCTCTCGCCCATCGTCGCCGCCCCCTTCCACGACCGCATCGTCGTCCTCGCCGGCGCCGCCCTCGGCCTCGTCGTCCGACGCGCCCCTGACCCCCCCACCCACCCCGCCCACGCTCTCGTCACCGTGCCAGATGACATTTCGGGAGGCGGTCCAGAATGGCGACACCCTGGAGCTGCAGAGGATCCTCGAGGAGAGGGAGGGGAAGATCAACATTAATCTCTTCGACACGGAGGGCCAGACCGCCCTGCACCAGTGCTGCCTCAGGGGAAACCTCGAACTGGTCAAGCTCCTGGTGCGCTTCGGCGCCGACGTGCGGCTGGCCAACAGAGACGGTTGGAATCCGCTACACATAGCAGCGTACGGAGGCCACAATGATATTTTTTTGTTCCTAATGACAGTTCCAGTGAGGAGGTCGTAGCAGTCATGTGTTGGTTAATGTGTTGGTTTGTTTGTTTGTTGATACTTTGTAAAGAAAAAGACAAAAAACAACAACCAAAAAAAAAGGAACAAACTTTATTACAAAACACATTTTAAAAAAGAGACATTTGTGTATTATCAGGACTGTCTCGTTCTCATGATGGATTTGCCTCCCCCTGAAAATACCTTAAAAGGTTACCTGCCCTTGGTGTGGTCCATGTAGGAATGGTCATACTCTAGTATTTTTTAGTACGTCATTGAAGACACTCTAGGGCCCGTTATCAGATTTTGTACCAGAAATTCAGGGATCACACATGTTGGTGGCCGCAAAATTAATTTTTATTTTTTTTATAAATGACCAATAGTTCCAGAGATCTGGAATCTAAGCGTTAGCAAGAAACGGCTATTAATTATGAATACCAGCGATTCTCAATCTTTGGTTTTTGACAATCCCAAAACCAGTTCATGAATGCCAAATAAGTGATATCCCATGACGTTAAGAAAAAAATCAGTTCCTTTGAATTAACCAATCAATTTCTTGTTGTCTGGGACAATGTAATAATTCAACTGATTAAATTGTAGAATTTTCTTTACATTTTTAATTCAAAATATTTAGTGTAGCAATTTAGAAATCAGTGAATTTTTTTGTTGTCTTTAATCTCAGGAGAATGACAAATGCATCTTTATAACAGTTTAAAGTACCTCTGGTATAGACAGTCCAATAAAAATTTGAGAACCTCTGATAAAGACAATCCAATGTTGTTGAATTTCACAAAGATTAAACTTTGAACCAATGATAAATCAACTCCAAATATTGTACAATGAAATGGCACTGCCACACCCTTTTCTGCAGGCACCCTCTACTGCAGGCACCCTCTCCTACAGGCACCCCCTGCTGCAGGCACCCCTTCCTGCAAGCTTCTTGTGATGTAAATATTAACAATTTATTTTATGGCTGGCCATTGGGGATTGAGAAAAGGACACCTAAAGGCTTAGGTTTTTTTCATGTCAATCAAATATATATATGCACTGGAGGCATGTCGTCTGCCACTACACACTTGGTGGATTGACCAAACTTATCTTATCCAGTATGTTTATTGTAGATGGCCTCTTTTCACTCTTGAAGATCTTTATCAATTTAATGATTTTTTTAACAATTTTTTGCAGTCTTTTAAGGGGTGCATATGAAAGAAATAAAGAAGTGCATTTTTTTTTATGCTTACACAGACGAAGTTTTGCTGATGTACTGTAAAAAGAAGGTACAATGTGTGCACTGTTCGGTTATTCAGTTTGTTGATACCTCATTGCCAATGGTTAAAAAAAAAAAATCATTGCAGGACTCTATAATGGCACATGCATTGCAAAGAAAAGATCATTCTGTCTCATCGATTCACCCTTTCCAGCAAAAAGTATACCACCCATCTTGTTTCATTTACGACATCTGAAGTTTTTAACAGCGAACATTGTAGTATTTTTAAAATATAGTTCAATAACCATAAACTTAATCAGCTATTTATAACCATATTACCAACACAATTTAGGACAAAATACCTTACTTACAATCACCCCCCTAACAAATGTAAACAAAGTCAGGACATTTCACATTGCTCTAATTTATAATATATATAATACAAATATATATATATATATATATATATAAATATATATATATCCATATAAATGTGTGTAAATGCACATTTTAGAGATAGTTATTTTTTTGTTTATATATATGTATATTAATGGACAGGCCAGTGTATGAAATAAGCCACATTTTAGATATTTTATTGCAAAATATTTTTTTCTTTTGCCTTGTTAGCCTGGCAGGTTTTTTTAAAACAAAATGTTGTTTTAAGCCCAGCTGTTCTTTACCATTCATTGGTGCAATTGACAATTTTGGTCTAAACTCTTGTAAAAGTCACATTCCTCTTTACATGATCAGAATTTTTTTAAATTAAAAAAATAAATAAATTAAGCAATGTTTCATATCATTATTAAAAAACAAGAAATTCCTAGCTGTTTATAATGTGCAATATGCATATGAAACTTATTTGAATTATTGTTACGATTCTGTAATATTTTCCAGGTTCAGAAGCGCTGCTCTAAGAATTTGATTTTGATGCAGAAGTACTCATTATTGAGAATATTGATTGGTGTAAAATTAATGAATCAAGGAATTTAAAAAAAATAATTCTTGCACTTGGCAAAAAAAAAAAAAATTAAAAAAATCTAGTGAGATTCTTCGGAGCTACTCTGAGTAATATTAAAGTTACTTTAAGCCTCTAAGTCACAGAAACATGAGAAATTACAGTTATCACTAAAAATATATTCTACCAAATCTTGGTTCGGACTAATAAATTATGTGAAAAAATACAGCTTTTATGGCATATTAATTAAAATCAAGGAAAATTCCATTAAGTAAACACTAAACAGAATCAATAAAAAAAAATCTTTGATGAACAAAATAATTTGAAAATGAATTTTTCATTCAGCCATGGAATAATGCCTTCAGTCTTGCAAGGCCTAGGTAGAAGCATGTATGCCAAACCTATAGAAACAAATATGGCTACAATAAAGAAACAACTTTATTATTGTTCATGTCTCGGACTTCCAATAAATAAAAATCCAATTTATTTATTTGTTATATTAATTGGGCCAGTTATGAATAATTAGTATTTAATTACTACGGTATTTTAAATATACTCACAGGTTCTCAGTGTTTTGTGTAGTGTCACTAACAGGTTCTCACGGTGTCTTGTAGTGTCAAAGGTACTCACAGTGTCTTGTAGTGTCTTTTTTAGGTTCTCACAGTGTCTTTAGTGTCAAATCCAATAATGTCCTATAATGTCAACCTGTGTTTAATGTTGACAACACCTTTAACGACTATGTCTTATATCTTTAAATCTTTGTGAATATTTTTTTTTTTAATTCTCAAAATTTATCTCGATTACAATATAGTTTTAAAATATATAATCTTAGAGAGGTGTAAATATTACTTAAATAAAATAAACCACAAGTTTTTTTTGGATTGCAAGAAATTGTTATATAGTACATCACACCTAACAGTAGTATTAAATATATATGTAGATAAATATAGACAAAAGCAGCATATTTAAAGGTTAGTTAAAAATTATTTACCATACTGGGCTCCATATGGGTGAAAATTTTATTGGTTTAGGTGGCACTGTAAAAATTTTGTCTCTCTTTTAACCTGGCAAGCATATGAATTGCTCTTTTCCTTGGGCATGTATCCTGAGTGGTATCGTTTCTCAATATAATATGATAATAAATCATTCATGTCAAACACTTATCTGTGTAGGTTCTGGGGCTTCTGCCCTTTTACTTAATCTTAGGACTCCTTATTAGGAGACATTTGAAAATGGCATATAAAGTACACATATATGGTAGTTTTACAAATAAGATGTATGTCAGTGTGACATAAGGCAAAAACATATGGCACATAAAACTTGTGATGTATGACATGTATGAGAAATGTACAAACTATGATATGCTACTTTAATTTCCTAGTGTGTGGTTTTTATGTCTCAATTGTGAAATAAGAAATATTTTTTATGACATTTTGATCTATAATTTTAACCCAAATGAATCATGACCATAGAAATACAATTATTTCACAGCGTCGGCAGCTGCCTTGTTGTTTTTTACCCCATGAACATGTCATTAAATAAAGTAATGACATTTTAAGAGACAGACTTCATTGTGATGTTATAGCAAATTTTTTTTATAGCAGCGATTGTACATTTAAAAAAAAAAACTAGCAGCACAATGACGATAAAGACAAAAAGGAAAACAAATTGTAAAAAGAGGCAGAAATGGCTAAATATGTGCATGAGTTTTACAATCATTCAGATTGAGACTGGAGATAACATGTGACACTTGTCATGACTTTTGACTTAAAGGACATCAAATGGCAACACAGATGAGGAAAGTGACAGATTGGGACACGATATGTCTTTACTAAAATTTAAATTGTAAACATAAATGTGGCATTTAAGTTTGTGAACATTATTTTTTTTCTTCACTTTATCCTTTAGGGTGTATCACAGAAATAAAGTAACTATAGACATGTCACAGATATGATAGAGTACAGTATCAAAGTCAATGCTGTGACTCACAGCTATGTCTTTTGAAACAAAAACAAAGAAAGAAACAAAAAATACAGCTATCTAAGTTACCAGCCTCCCTCCTGAGTAAGATATCAGTAGGTATATTATTTTAAAAATGACTCATTACATTAGAATTAGTATTTGGCGAAATGAAAAATTTTCCTGAAAAAAATATATGAATAAAAAGAGGAGAAAAAAATAAAAACAATTTAAACAAAAAATTCATTGTACTCCTTTAAATTTTTCTTTTTTAAATCGTTTTCTTTAAAAATTAGCACAGAATGTGAGCAAAGGAAGAAAGGGTACTCCACCCCGTCATTCAGATGAAGAATATCAATCATAAATCTTGCTGTTGAAGTAAAAAAAAAAACAAACAAAAAACATGATTATATTCCAATAATATGTCTCATGTCCATGATGATGAGCTTGGGCAAGGCATTGCTAGAACGAACATTAATTTAATTCGTAATTATATTAGTGACACACAAGTCTCATACGAATTTTGGTTTGCCCTTTTTATTATTATTATTATTATTTTTTTTTTTGTTTACTGTTGACACATATAAATGGCATTATTATTTAATTTTTTGAAGTGAAGAGATACAAAGAAATGTCTCCTCAAAATATGAACAAGATTATTAACACAAAAAATCGTAAGATCAAGTTGTATTTTTAGCTTCTTTGCACTGTACATAATAGAATTTTTACTGAGACAGTCTGAATGTGCTGTTTCCAATGTTTTCACCACTTCCTCTTATATTTAATGCTAATTCTTTTCTTTGTGATAACTATGTTTAAGAGAAAGCAACCATCCAAACAACATACACCACGTTTATGGCTTTGTTTATTTGTATTATTATTTTTTTATTTCCCTCTGTATCGTTCTATTTTTCTTTTTGTTTACGGCCACCATTTTGTTGCTATGACCTATTATTGGCGCATGAAAAACAAAGTGGCTATTAGTACAACAAAACTGGGCGTAATGAGGTGTTTAAAAAGCAACTTTTATTCAATTTTCTAACTCTTCAAATTCCAAGATATAAGATAAAAAACTTAATTAAAAAAAAAAAATAATAATAAATTCTAGATATTTAAAAATATGTTTGGAGGGAAAGCAATTCATTTTTAACTCAAAAGGGAGAATATGATAATAAAAATATAATAATAATAAATGAACGAAATAATACATTGTTTTTAATTGGAAAACAAACCATTTTGCTACCTAGGTAGACTTGATATAAAGTCAAAATTCTAAAGTTCATTTATAGATACCATTTTAAGTCTAAGTCAAGCAAAAGCTGCGACCAGGGTAAAGCCTGAAATTTTGGTTCTACCCCCCCCCCCACAGGAGTATGTATATCAATACTTGTACACATATTATCAGCATGAATATGAAAGAAATGGAGAGTTTTGACGCCTTCTCAAGACCTCACCCGGGGCGGCGGCCCCCCTCTCACGGCTCACGTGCGTGCATCCTGGTTTTTGAAGATAATTTGGCAGTTATGTTCGAGTGTTTATCGTAACTAACTGTAACGCTGTAATGAAACGCGATAGCTGCATGGCATGACTATGAGTTTTAGGTTGCGGTCCATGGTCAAAGATTAGAGATGGTGCCATACCCACAAGTATCAATTAATCAAACCGTACTGTACAACATATTTTGGGAGTGAGCACAGTAGGGAAGACAGATGAAGCAGCACTCTTTTCTTCGATGACTATATTACTACGTTCTCCGTATATATCTGAGCTGGGATAAAAATAATGTTTTTCTATCTTTCTCTCCTTGAGCCTTCACAGTTAGCCTAATATCCCAAAACCTTCAAAATCAAGCTACACTCAACACCAGTAAGGTAATAACAACTTACACCAATAATTAACAGCTATGGAATGTGCAGGCCGAAGACAAAACACCAATGTGTGTCAAAGCTTTTTATTCGCTCACGTCTGCTAGGATAGATATGCACACACCATCATGTAGATCGTGGGTTCTCATTTAACGGGGATGAACTGACCCCATTGGGGTAATTTTGCTCAGGTTTTAAGGAGCTTTTAAAATTAAAAGCTGAAGAGATACTTTTCAAAGAAATGGTTCTTCCCCTTATTTATCACCAAGGTTGAAACGAGTCTTTCGAAGAGGGGGTTCTTTAAACCTCATTAGACCTGAACGGGATGCACGGCCCACATTTTTTTTTAGAACCACTGAAATAAGCGAGGCAAACGGTGTAAGGGGTTGGGGGGGGGAGAGGGAAGTCTGAAAGAGAATTTGACACCTGACCTTTGCGGTCGCAATCAAACCGACAAACAAACCATTGCACCTTGCGAACCCTTGGCAAAGTTGGGTTGTTGGCCAGCGCCCAAGTCTCTTCTCTCGAACTGTAGGGACCAAGCCGAATGTAGAATACGCAGACAATATGTAATATAGAGTACGGTTTATAATAAATTTTGGCAGTCGGACAAAAATGGTGAAAGTTGAACATAAATATGT